AGTATTAATTTTTTTTTGTTGGTATTTTTCTTCCATTTCGGCTTCAAATAATATTCTATCTCTATACTCCTTTTCCTGCGTCACTCGATCCGACGCGATCTGATCCCCGAGGGAAGTTCTCCAAACGAATCACCAGCTGACTGATTTAACTTTCATAAAATATCAAACCGTTTTTACACGAACCAAAATATACCTACGAGTGTACCAATATACGTAAAAGTTCAGCGTCACAAAGCGTACATATTTAATAGAACATTAAGAACGTTACACAAACGTAACACATCTGCGCGGTTCGTCTTCGTGCTGCTGCATAATATACAATTTCTTCGGAGTAATATTATCCGACGAGGGGACTAGGGTGAAAGACAATCGAAACGAAACCGTGTACAGTAGCTATAAAATCCAAGAACTTTCCGTTATTAAACTCGATTCTTGCAATTGGAATATTACAATATTACAGCCGGTACAGAGTATTTATTTTTATTTTTTTCGTTCGCGCGCATAATTGATATTGTTGTGTGCGACGGAGTTGGAACGTAGTTTGCATTATTTCGCCAGGAATTCGATTTCTCGGAAACCGAGATTACTCTGAAAATATTCGAAGACGGTCGAATGAACAGCGGAATTAATTGGTTTCGATGTAGGAGCTGCTCCAAGTACCTATGTTTGAACCGTTCGAGTGTAAAAATAATACGCCGGCGGAGTATACAGAGTGATTTTGTAAGCCTGCCCATTTTTTTTTTTTTTTTATGCTTAAACTATGCACTTTTTCAAATCCTGATTTACGGAAAATGTAAGTATAAGAAAATATTTTCCAATACATAGATTTTTATGTAAGGAGTTACAAAAGTAAGTGCTAATAATTTTTCATCGTACCTATGATGTACTTTTGTTTTTGATGCGTTGTAATTGAAATAAAACAAATTGTTTTTTACCATCCATATTGTTTTATCATTTATTCAAAATCTTAAATATCTATTATTTACTACATCATACTAAATGTATGCTATACATATATTATCGATTTTTGTTATGATGATGGTGAAATATCTATAAAATAGTAAATTGAAACATCACGGCAATGTTCATAATGAAATACCATTGACACATACATGAAACATTGATGTTTTTTATAGACGTTATATTTTAATGTGTATGGAACGTCAGGTTTGACTGTTGTAAAGATGTAAATAAGATATGTTAAATAGGTGTCTTGTAAGTGAAATCATTGCGGTACAAATACATTGTCAGATATGTTTTTCGTGCACTTATAGAACGCGATTTGTGATATTCTCGGTTTCAACGAAATAGCCAAGCCACATCTGTGGTACAATTTAATGCACAGTAAGAAGGGTCTAGATGTTGTTTACTTTTGACTTATCATTTACTGTTTTTTTTAACAATTTATTGAAAAATCAATAATTCGATATTCGTCATTATTATATTTTTGTATTCTTATTTTTCTTATCAGACCAATTCTCAAATTTATTACGAAAATACGACTATATATAATTGTTTTTATACGTTTAAAAAATCCAAAAAATAATTGTATTTAACTAAAAAATTTTATGAGCGCGACTAGCTCATCAACGAATAAAAAAATGTAATGCATTTTTTTGTGTTCTTTTTTGGAATTCGTATGGGTATTATACATGGGCATCGATATCCGCGCTCTTGTGGTAACTATTGTTTGCTATTTTTGACACAAACGAAAACCAAAGTTTAGGGGGATGTTAAAAATCCGAAACACCGTGTTCGGTTACGCTGTCTCCGGGCAGTACACGTGTGTATTTAGGTGCACGTTAACAATATTATTTCTAGATTAAACAGAATCACGCGAAGTGAACGGGGTTAGAGAAACACTGCAACACCTTTATAGAGCGGTATTCAACTCTCCGAGTGCTCTCTCTCTCTCTTTTTCTCTCATCGCGTGATTATGTGGATTAAAATCGAAAACACCGCGACCCGTATTATGTTGCATTATTAAACGCGTACGCATGGACTCATTGTAGCTGTATTGAAGGGAATATCTGTTACATACGAGTACAAGGGTCCACGCCGCCACCGATCCTTTTCGCTCGGAGGAGTTTTTACGTCCGTGTGTACACGACGAGAAAAAAAATACGGGACGATAATAATATATTTATAACAGTTTTATCCCCACGTAACAGTCTCTCTCTCGCGCGCGCGGTTCGTAATATTCTCTTTTACATTCTCCTCTCCACGCCAGTCCCGCTGACGACCTCCCCCCTCGTACGCGATTTCCAGTCACCTATCGGTCTTTGTTCGGTCCCCGGGCATTGTTATTGTAATCGTTGTTGCTGGACTTAGGTCCCTCCAAGACCCGCCGCCACCGCCTCCGCCGACGACGATGACAATCCGTACTCGGGGTTAAATACCGCACTAGTATACGCCATCACGACCAAGCGCTTACCGTGTGTTCATTATATATAAATATACTGTGGTAAACGGTCTCTGACGATTGTGAATTAGTCCACTTCACCATCGTAAGTTATAACACTCGATAGGTGCACGCATTATGATGCCGTGCAAGCACTGCGTCTAATACACCTAGCAGGTAAAATCACACTAAACTCTCTCTTTATTTTCATATATTTTTATTTTTTTTTTTTTTGTCTCCTGTCCGTCCGTCTGTCTGTCTATCTGCTCTCTTTCACTCTCTCTCTGTCACTCCTTCTATGTTTCCCACTCGTTCCATTATTTTATTCTCGTCCATCCGCGTTGCACGAACACCCGTCCATTGTTGACCGTGTGAAAGGGACGTACCCGCGGCGGTGGCGGTGTACCCCCTCGTGTCAATTGTACGGATAATAATAAAAAAAAAATAATAATAATACCATCTGTGGTCGGCCACCACCACCTTTTCTTCTGCTGCTTTGACAACAACACAATCGCCCCAGCCCCGTTGCGCGAGCCTTTGTTGCGCGGTGTAGACTCTTCCAAGACGCCGCCGCGCACCATAATACGCCGTAAAGGTAATATACGGCCCACGTCGTTGCGTACGCGCAGGGCACACGTAGAAGCAGTTGCTCGCGCGCGTGCACGGGAACGGACAAACGTGCGGAAAGAGAGAAGAAAAAAAAATCTCACCCCCCCGTACGCCGAATGTACGATTATTTTGAACAGCGCGATTGTGCGCGCTCTCCGCGCCCCCTCGCGTTTATTTACACCGCTAATTATACGTTTTCGACCCTCGAGACCCGGGCGCAAGGACACGCCGTCCGGGACGCGTCTTCCGATCCGGGAAACCTCACGCGCCGGCGGCGGTGGGTTTTTTAATTACGATCCAAGCGAAACCGTAAAAGACCGCGCGCGAACAATATCGCATTGTGTTGCGACGGTTACAGCTTAATGCACTTAGTACAACGCGTTATTATAAATCGTGCGCGGACACGGTGTTGCGGAAACATTCGTTCGGGACCCAGTTACCCGGGGCGGACCGGGAACCGAGGGGCCCGGGAATCGAAGTGCCCGGGGGGGGGGAGGGGACGGTATACTGGACCTGTTGTTATTACATTTTAATTAATAAATATTTTTGGTTAACCGTGCTCCGAATCCGGATATTCTAATAGCAAACGATTGGTGTTTTACCGTTATAATTCAATATCACATTTTCTGTACGGGTGATTAATACGACACTATCGAGGGTCCAGTAGCCGATCGCTCCTTTGCCCCCCCCCCCCCGGCCGGTCGGTCCCCGCTAGCGATACGTATACGTCGGTGCACCGCACGAAGATTTTCCTTTTTCAACGGAATTTCTCGCACGCACCACCACCACCCCCCTTCTCGTAGACCGAGGCCGGGAAGTGACGGTGGGAAGGTTTATATGGTAAACGGATTCACTTTTGCGCGACGCGTATGCGCAGTCGAAAACAAATCTCAGATCACGCGTTTCCCGTCCGCTCACTGCGCGTACCGTTGCCGTCGTTCTGACGCGCGTAATCTCCCCTCGACGTTGTGCAGGTACACAATACGTTTACGTGTATACTAGTGCTCTGCATGATCCGGTCATAATCGGTACGGCCCTAACGTGCAAAAACTATTGAGCCGTCCGTTCGGTCCGGTTCGATAATTTTTTGGAATGATTCGGGTCCAGTCCTCAGATCAAATGCATTATTTTCTGTCCGGTCCGGTTTCAAAAAAAAAAAAAAAATGAAAATCAATCCCGTCCGGTCTCGGTCCGGTCCCAATCATGGAACTTAAAATCTAAATACGGATATTGTTACGTAAACAAATAAAAACGTAAAAAACCTACAAATTTAGGTAAATATTTATTTATAAAGTCGGGTAGTCCGGTCCAATGTAATACTAAACGCATCATACGGTACGGTCTGGGCTACTTTATTAAATGTTATTTGATTACTGGTCCGGTCCGGTCTAAAAATAATATGAATCCATCGGCACGGTCCAATTTTGGTCTTTGATTAACGTTCAAGTGTGGTCCGGTCCGAATTCGGTCCCCTGGTAAAATTTGTAGTCCGGTCTGGTCCTAAAAATAACGGACCGTGCAGAGCACTAATGTATGCAAATCGTTCGAATCGACGTTATCACTTTCTTCCGTTGTATTTGTTTACGGGACGCGTGTTTCGTCCGTCTCGAGAACGCGCAATGCACAGACTATCGGTACATCGGTACCTATTTTGTTTTATTTTATTTTATAAATATTACACATTTTTCTTGTTATAATTTAGTTATTAAATTTGACAAATGGTTATAAGTTATTTTATTTTGTATTTTAATTTATTACATAAACAAGTTTTACTATCAAAAAGGTGGTTAAATACATACCTATTATGTTTTATTTTAAAATTACAAAATTGTTTAAACTTAGTAGGTATGATATTTGGTTTTTAATTCATCTAGTTTCAATTAACCAATCAGTTATTTAAAACTCAAGTAAGTTTTCAAATCGCTTGATATTTTTAAATAGCTTTAAATTTACAATACCAGTATTTTTTTTTTTTAGTCAAGTTGATATATTACCTTAATATAATTGTTAGTCGTTGTTCAGCACTAATAGAGTTACGAAACTGAATATTTTCTTTTGTTATGTAAGGGCGTAACTTCTCTAATAATTCGTCAAAAAAAGTTATAGACACCCTATAATACTCAAAAAAATTTTCACTGTACAATCTCAAATTTGTATAAAAAGTATCGAATTGGTTCAATTCTTCTCTATCATGTTTAATTGGATGAACCCAATATTTTATTATTGGTTTTGGTGGATCTAATTCACCAAATGCTTCTGCGACAGCAATCATTTTAAATAAATTGTCATAATCATCTAACCCCATTCTAAATAAATCGAATGTAATATAATAAGTAGGACTATGCATTAAATTAACTAATAATTTAATTTATAACTTATTTACATGTGTTTAGGTGTTTGTGTACAAATCGTGGTACGGAGGTATAAAAAATTTAAATTTACAGTATTAGATTTAGTGAAGTATAGTAAATACAGTAGATCACAGACCATAGTAGTTGGTTAACCAATCACTGTACTATGAACTATCAACATTCAATTTTCTTGTGGAAATTAGAAATTGATATTTAGCCAGTTTAGGTGCGAAAATTGAGTGATAACACCTATTGTATTAGCGGTAAAAAAACGCAATGCGGTGCGGGTCGTAAGATCCGCGAACGGTAAAACCGTTCGGACCCGACGGCAAAAATACCGCAATGCGTTCGGACCCTAACTTGCGCGCGGCCAAAACCCCGAAGCCCTCCACGTACATTATAAACATACTATTATTGTTACGCTGCACATCGCAGCAATGTCGAACAGCAGTTACTGCGGTGTTTCGTTATTATTATTTTCACCTGGTGATATTCGCATGGTTAACGCTGCAGGAGTACAATGTGTGCGTGCCCAGTCGAATAGTGGTCATTAAACTACAGATGTTTGCCGGTCACTATTGGTGATTATATTGCCATTATTGTTGTACTAATGTTCTCGATCACCGTCTCGGACCATAGGATGACCAATGTTGAATTAAAACGAATGAAGAACACAAAACTGTAGGAAAAACCGTTTATTAATGTTCATCAGCGAATCTCAACCTTTTTAGTACTGCGACCCAAATTTCCCCCGAAAAATCTTTCGCGACCCACATGATTTCACTTTTCAAAAATAAGTGAAAACAACATTTGTATTACATAAATATGTATACATTTTTACTAGGTATTTAGTTTTTTATAGGTTTACAATTAATATACTTTTACGAATGCACTTTTAATAATGAGGTGTGTGCTTGTTTTCTCTTATGGTTAATAACAGCATTGACTTCGACATAAATTTTTGTTATTTTCTAACGTAAAGAGTTCGATAAGTTTAGCTTGTTCCGATGTTTGTTTGAAATTAAATCGTTTGATGAAATTAAATGCAAATTTATGTGGTTAATTATGTCTTCAGCTATTTTTGTACAATTTTTAGTTATGAACATTTGAAATGTTTCAAAGCAATCATCATTTTGCTTTTCAATGTTTTTTTGCCATAAAGTAAGTTTTTTCATAAAACCTTTAATTTTGTCATGAACCGCAAACATATCGGTTCCTTTTATTCTTTGTAAATATAAATTTAATTCGTCGAGTTTACTGATTAATTTAACATAAATTTCTTGGAATCTATATAATTCAAAAAACGTTCACGATCCACCAAAAATTGACTGACGGCCCACCAGTGAGTCACGACTAGGGTTGCCAACCGTACCGCGTAAGGCGGGACGTCCCGTTTCCAGGGCTCAAATAATGCGTCCCGCGATGCGTATCCGTGGGACGCTAATTGTCCCGCTTTTGGTAAACCTGTATAAATATTTTTATATAGAAGCCTTACATTCTTATTGTGCACATTTAAAACTGTTTTCCATCCGAAATTCCGACAGAGTCGATTGCACGTACTGGCTTAGCAAAAAATTGGTAGTATTTATAGATTCAATTCAGTATTCAATACACAACCACTCTTTCAAAAAGCAAAAATAATTATCTTGTGATAGAGTACTCTTAATTGGGCAAAGTGCTTTATTTACTATAGTAAATTATAATTTAACAAATATAAAATAATTAATAAATTAGATTTGTGTTAATAAAAATTGTCATTATTCTGTTAATTTTATATGAATATTTCAAATTTTAAATAAAACTGGTAAAAATTATTAAATTCGTTTTCTCTTGTTTCTATACATTTGTAAGCATGTTCCGCTTTTTTATTGTCAAGTCCCGCATATAAATATATGGTTTCCCGCTTATCTGTAAATAAGAGTTGGCAACCCTAGTGGGTCGCCCACACTTTGAGAAACGCTGATGTATATTAATGTCACTAACTCGATAAACTCGCTTCGAGAACGCGGATGAAGAGCGTCTCGGCACACCTCGGCTCTACAGCCTGGTGGAGCGTCGTACACTCGGAACGCGGGCACAACTAGAGCCCAAATATTAGGGGGTGCTGAAATTGTTGAAAATAAAATTAAACGGTATTTTAATTACTATAGATAACTGTAATTATTGTACATTATACTTATAGATCTGAAAATAAACTGGAGTTACATTTGAACTCAGGAGTGCTAAAGCCTCTATTACGCCTCCCTAGTTGCATTTATGCACTCGGAACGCGTCTTATCGATACACACAATCAATAATAATAATTATAACAACGTTATTTTGCTTACGTTTATATGACAACAGTTAAACCGTTCACACCTTATTGTTTCAGTCGATCCCCGTACCACGAACATATGCTAAAATTGTAGCAGGTCTTATTCTAACGGCCAGTACGACCCAAATTGGGTAGTAGGAAAAATCAAAAGGGCAGTTGACTTTATGAATATGAGCACCATACTAAAATATAATTTTCCATATAGAATGATTGAATTTCTAGTGAGTGTTTGAAATTTGTGTGATTTATAAACCCAATCTAGTACCTATAATAAGTAATAATTATGTAATTTTACAATCTTTGCTACTTCGATGATTGATTAATCTATGAAATTTAAATTTAAATAGTGGTATACGTATAACGAAAAAGATCTGCATTTCTTTAAATATTTTACCACGCGATGGTCAACATTCTGAAATATCAATATACAATTTATTGAGGGAGGGAGTAAGTATTATATTCCAAATAAATTTCACAAAACGAACTTTTCGGTGTGTTTGGGCAGTAGGTAAAAATCCTCAGAATAAGCCCTGCATTGTAGTACACCGTCAGGTTATGCGGTTCGCACGGCTATCATTGAATTCGATAGTTTCGCGTTATACGATTTTATCGAATTCGATACGGCGTTTCAAACGGGAACTATTCGATCAGATTTGTCCACTTGTTTTTAGCCACGTCAATGGCAACACGCAGTCAACACACAATCGGGCATCGTGGATTTACTCGTCCCACTGATTTTTTATTATTACAGACGTGTTTCGGAGAAACGTTTGGCACGACCAACGTTCTAGGTACATCCTCTATTAAAGAACGGTCAACAACGGGGTAAAAATTATTTTTATAAACGTCCAAGGACCTGCCTCACAAATTAGGTCGTTCTTCAATAAATTTAATCAATAATTCGGTTGACATCATGCGATCGTCTTCCGTCTCGAAAGAATTAAAATTTCTAAACAAATACGTCAAACGGGCTACTAACGACTGCGGAAAAGTCGAAAACGTTTGGTTTTTTTTTTTTTTACGATGAGTGCGAATCGAAATCGCGTTCGGTTGGTACAATCAGTCGCACTGCACGTCGCGTTAAAAATAATCGATCCGCTCAACACTCGTACACAGAATGCTGGTGTTTATTTTGTTTAATGAACGTTTCGTTAGGTTTGTGAACAATAGCCACGTACGCGTTTCCGTTAAAACATTATTTTTGATCGCCTTAAAGAATTTTCGACGCATCGGAGTGATGGCCCGAAGGTCTTCCTTGTCCGCTCGTCTGTCCGCGTCTGTTCTCCTCCGTTCATGCGTGTCAATAGCAACAATGACAAACGATCGTCTCGACGCGAACGGACCAAAATATTAAAACATTTACACGGACGGTGTCTGTTCTCTTTGTGTTACAATTGTACCATTTTTAACACACGGCTTTCAGTCGCGTACGCACCGCCGTGAATAATCTTAACGCGGCGGCTCGCACGTCGTGCGCCTTATGTTCCGCGAAACGTTCAAAAGTGTAATTTTAAGCTCCACCATACGCACTCGAATACGATCGAGCAAATCACATTTACCGAGCAATTTTTTTTTTAGGTTCGTGAATTAAACACATTCTTCTGAAAAACGTTTTAAAATCGAGGATGTTGGACAAGTGATCATCATACCGAGTGATGCGATCGTTTCGTACATCGCGTTTAACGGCTGTCCCGCTATATTGTTTTAAAATTATCAGGATGTATACAGATTGTACGAATAAATTTTGAAATCCAAAAAAAAAAAAAAATTATTAGGTTTGCAGACGGATAACGGTTCGTGGAACGCGGTGTATCACGTCGAGATAATGTGAATAACGTTGGTCCGGAGCAAATAATCGTTTTACGAAATGTATTTAACCGTTCGCGTACGAAGATTGTTACCGACGGAGAGATGAAAACGTTTGTTTCGTACTCCTTATGTGCACCGAATACACGTGCGCCCTTGAATGCACAAGACTTTGCGGTTCTCGCCCACAACGTTGTGTTTACAGTAAAAATAAGATTTGTTGAACGTTATCATCGCACAACCGTACCGTGTACGATTCCGACGCGGAAAACGTTTCGACCGCTGTGGTGCATTTGTGCCTGCGCGTTAATTTTTTAGTTTAAACGACGGATCGAATGAAAATATGTGATCGAGTAAATGAGTAATCGAGTAATTTTTACTAAATGCGATGCGACTATACATGTTCGGTCGGTGAATCCCAAACCGCCGAATCGTCCACGGTCGAATTGAAACTTACAATGAACCGAAACGTCCAATTATGTCCGATATTTATGTTCTGAATAAATACGACTATGAATATTTGATATTACGTACAAGTGTACGATACAAACACCGTGCACTGTCAATGGACAGTGACCACAATGGACCACACGTATATTATCCGTTCGATGTCGGTCGAACGTAATCTATGCGTTTATTATTCCGTTAAAACGTAGTGGTTTTTGATCAAAACTGTTTCGTTGGAATCGGAATCCCGAATAAAAAAATAATTATTTACGCCTACGGTTTTATTTTTTATCGCGTAATATTTACATCTCTTTTTTTTTCTGCATTTTCTTATTCTGTTTTGCGTGGGTTGATTTTCGAGCCGTTCAAGCCCTCTCTGTGCTCTCT